ATCATCAGTACGTCCAATAACACGGCATAGAACATCATCTTGCTTTTACTGCTTCTCTAAAAATGCCTGTAGGATACGCGATCTGCTCATTTTAATGAGGCAGAAACAAAGTGGTTTGCACGTCTAAATATTTGCTGAGCAATCTTTGTACATCGCCCACAACATGCCCAATTATTGCAAATACAAAAGGAATTCATGAGCAATTTAAAACCCCTTATTTGGAATCTTAGAGGATCAGATTGAACTGCTGATTATTAACCTGAAAATGTATTTCATATATCTCAAATTAAGCTTAAACTTTGGTCTGAAGTCATTTAATGTTGATTTAAGAAATAAATTGTGTCCATTTACAATACATCAAAATAAACAAGGAGATTTGTTGAAAACGCCGCTGACTGATTCCAGTTATGACCGAATCCAGGCAGCCGGGTAAAAAAGAATTTAAGCAATGATTTAGCTCAGGGGTAACCAAGTAAAAACCAGCGGGGTCCGAACAAAGAAAATCATCAACCAGTAAAGATCCGGAGACATTTTTAATCATAATCGTTACTTTAAACAGAATTTGTTTTTTTTAAGTAGAGATTAACAATCCTTTAGTTTGGTATAGAGACTCTTTTCTGATTCACATATTTTTTAAAAACACCTGAACTGACCATTTGTTTTTTTTGTTTTTTTGTGCCTTAAAAGAGAGAAGTGTGGTTTAAACTGTCCTGCAAGGCTTTAAACCTGGGTTTTAATAAAGACTAAGTCATTCTCAAGCACATATCAAGGTGCTCATCTTGAGCCTGGATCCATATTTATTTTTGATTCTGTTCATGGTGGAGAATCCTGCTTTACAGCAGCAGGTCGAGCCAAACATCCTCTAAATGTGCAGGGTCATCTTTGAGCACGCCATTTCACTTTTCTTTCACTAGGTTACCACGGTTCTCTCAGCAGTTCACACTTTCTCAGCTTTCTGTTTCTCACCATCTCCTCCTTCTCTCCCCTCGCCCGGCTTGCCACAGGTTTAATGCTGTGTCTAAAAGTGGCTCCAAGCAGTGACCCAAACTGAAGCAGCTCATTGGCTAATTTATATCAGGTGCAGCCTGGTCCCAGAAGCTCCTGATGGCTTTACCATATTAACATGAGAAGCGGAGCAAGAGAAGTTAGACACTGCTGTCGGAAAACATGCAGTAATTTATAAATTTTTTAAATCAGGTTGGGTCCGGATTAGCCATAACCTGACTCCGCCAGATGGATTTGCTCCGCATATCCATCTGGAAACCTTCCGTTGAAGTAATTTTGGGAAGGGGCGAAAATACTGGTTAGCTGATTGGCCTATGTTGGTGATAGACGGGCCAAATAAACCAATCAGATCAACGAAGCATATGACGTACTAACAGAGCGACGACGAAGAGGAGCCAATTGATAGATCAAACTCTTGCCGAAACCAGTCGGGAGAAGAGCAAAAACATCTTTTCCTCTGAGAAAAGCCTCCAGAGCAGTGTTTTGCTCTTCTTTCAGTGAAGAAATACTCTGAAATTCCGATAAAACTTGCTCGATAGCCACGCTAACGCTAATTTCATCGGCTGAAGCCGCCATGTTCTTTAGACTGAACTGTCACGCTTCTTGTTGCGTCACACCTCAACCCGCCTCAAAGCCAACGCTGATTGGACGTTCGTTTGGTGAACGGCTCCAAATTTTCTTTAACGGAGAGTCTCCAGACTGATTAGCGAGTGAAACCTTGAAAGCTCGCGAGATCAGGATGGTCTCACGAGGCTAGATTAGCCAGCAGGTGGGTCCGGATCCGGATCGTGGTCCGCTAATCCGTGACCTCTGACCTAGCTTGTTATGAATGACTAATAATTAAACTTTAACTGTAAGTGTAAAAAAAGCAAAAATAATCTGTGGTTCTGTACTTGCCTCTACAGGAGAGCTGGGCAGGAAGCGAGGCTTCTCCATGTCGAGAAGCTTTTTAATGCCGAGCATCACTCTTTCTCTACGGGTGTGTCTAAACTGCTTCTCTTTGTCACACAGGGCCAAGCTGAATCTCAGGTCAAGGTTTGTGCTGGAGAAAAAAAAAATAACAAAAAGCAAGATTTAGGCTTTACAAGAAGTCACGAATCATGTTTAGTGGAGACAGTTTTAGAGGAATGTCTAAGCGTGATATTTAAACTGATCATTAGTTCCTTTTAGATATGCTGTTTGGTGAGCCAGTGTGAAACACACACAAACTTTTACCACAATACTGAGTATAATTACTAACCTTTCCTGGAACGTCTCCATCAATACAATGATTGTAATAAACCAGTTTTATATTGTCATTAGATGACTAAGAACTTGTGTTGTGTTGCTTCTTGTGTAGCAGCAACTTTATTGAGGTATATTCCTCGTTAAATTCAAATAAATAGTTTAAAGTCTTTATAATACAAACCAGATTTCCACCTTCAACTCCAAGTGAACTTTGGTTGCCTGTAAACATAAATATATGTGTTTATTAAGTGTGACAGAAGCTAGGACAGTAGGTACAGCTAGGAAGTAGGTACAAAAAAAAGATCCCCATGTCCCCCGCATCCCGCACACCCCTCTTTTCTCGTTGAACTAGTTTTTCATTATTTCTTTGGAGCTCATTTGCAAAGATTTAAATGGAGGGGGAAATATCGTACGTCAACATTTGTGATTCAATGTATGCGTCAATTAAGAAACAATGAATGGCTTACTTTTCCAAATTTGAAAATTTCCAGTTTTGTCTGGCCCACTTTGAGCTTGCTGATGTCAAAGGATGCGGTTCCAAGTGTCTCATCCATTACATAGTTGGCATCCATTAATGTCAGCTGATTGGGGAAAAAAAAAAAAAAAACAGGTTTTATGCTTTTAAAAAAATGTCAATTCCCTGAATATATTTAGGCTGTTCAAGTTTAGAAATAATGCCCCAAGCAAAGAAAGCTATTACACTAAAAATGTTGAGTTTCCGTGGTTACTGTAATGCCGTGTAATAACACAAACTGTGTATGCATGGATTTTCATCCGGATGCATCATTCGTTTGGTCGTCCTGAACAGAACCAGACTAGAGTCTCACCTCCAGGACATTTTGCTGGCTGGGGTCTAAAATGAAATGAAAAGTCTCGTTCCATTTTGGGTTGATGTCGTTGTCTATGTGCTTAGTCCTCTTCCTGCTCTCTGGAGCCGTCGGGATGAACAGCTCCACATATGGATCTGGGGTATCCACTGAGCACACAAAGATTAGGTTAGCTTGGTCAGATTTTATTTTGTATTTTTTTATTTGTTCATTTTGGTAGTTCTCTTCAGTGTTTTTGACAATGTTTGGGTTTTTAAAGTGATTTATGAGTAAAGTTGCTTGACAGTTGGTTCTGGAAATTTAAATCTGAACATGAAAAGATTCAACATATCATTATCAGTTCGTATGAAATCGTACGAAAAGTTATGCACAGTATTTCGTACGGTTTTTAAAGTTTTTCCTCGAAAAAACACATCAGTGCGCATGCGCAGGCAGACAGACGAAAAAAGCAGATCCGCGGACGGACGTAAAATTGGGAAAAACAGTGCAATAATTACTTCTTTATGTCTCTAACTACGTTTCTTGCTGTTTTGTATCTTAGGGTCAGGGTCAGGGTTAATTGTATGTTAAATTCTATGTTATTGAGTGGTGCGTAAGATGCGCATGCGCAAGGATATCTTGTCTCGAGGCAAGACGTAAAAATACGATGAAATACGATGAAATAAAATGTCAAAAACGTACGAAATTACGGGGCATAACTTTTCGTACGATGTCATACAAACTCATAATGAGAATACACTGAAAGATTGCAAACTGATTGTCTCCAGGCTCTACTCTGTGGTTGCTTTTATTTATTGACTACAGTCAGATGACATATTACATCTACTATAAGTATACCGAGTGCACACATCTTTATACTTCCATGTCAGCACATGACCATTGTCTCTTACAGAAAAATAAAACTATTTGTTAGCTATGTGAATGGAGTCGTATATATATCATCTTACCTCTCATTTTTTTAAGAGGATTAAAAATAGCATTTCAAACTCCATGATTTTTTATTTATTTTTTTTGAAAAATGACTTAATATGCATATTGATAACAACTTTCCTACTCAAAATTATGAATGCATGTCATATTAATGACTTATCTAAATAACTGTAAATACTTACACAAGTCCCCCAGAGCTCCTTTTGTAACATTTTCCGCACGAACGACAGTCACTGTGAACTTATGAGAAATTTGGTGCTCCACCTGCAACACAAGTTGTTACTAGCTTCACTATCTTAGATGACAAAACATCACAGTACCGACAACAATAACAGATCTACAGGTTTTCACATACCAGCTGATAATAAAACCATTTTAAAGCTAATTCACACTGTTGGAAAACTTTCCATATAAGTATGCCCAGGTAGTCCCTCGTATGAGATATGTTTATTATACACATAACTATGTGTTTTATTTGTATTTTTTGTGAGGTTGTTTGAGCTTGTAATGAGGAGAAAACTATGTCAAAGGCAAGCTTCACAAAACGGGTAAAACACATCTGCTTTGGGGAAAATACAAAGTAAAATCTACAAATTGCAAAGTAAACCACCCAGATCTGCCTCCATCTAAAAACAGGCTGTCTGTGTTTAATAAGCTTGGCAGACCAGGATGTACACAATCCAATAAACTTTCCAATAAACAGTATATCTAAACCATGGTGGGATCAAAGGAGGACAGAAAAAAAGATCAAGTAAAGTAGAAATCCTCTTTGAGTTTAAGAAAAACATTTTGGGACAAGGAGGCAAATGGGAGGTAATGAAGGAAAATGCAGGACACTTAAAAATGACTTATGCAAACAACACAAAAATCAGCTTCCAACCAGCCTCATCCACTTATAAATCACTCCCCAGTCTTTGCTTTGGCGGCCTTACCTTTTCCTTCAACATAGATTCCATCTTATAGTGTTTGTATTAAAATCCTCTACTTGTTCTGTTTTCTTTTCAGAACACCACATGGAAGTTTGGGCTTCTTGTTTGTATTTTAATTGATAGCCGTTTTTAATCTGTGTAAAAGATTGCTGCTCTACGTTCTTTAAATTTCAAAAAATGGCTTTTAGAAGAACTCTTTTGACTTTTAATAATTTTACCAAGTAAAATGGGAGTGGCGGCCTAGTGGTTAGTGGCATAGGGCTTTGAATCCTGAGGTTGTGAGTTTGAACCCCCACTCCCACAGACTGCCACTCTTAACCCCAAAACTGCTCCCCCAGGTCCCGCACAATGGCAGCCCAATGCTCCCCAAGGGGATGGGTTAAATGCAGAGAAGTAATTTCCTTCTGGGATTATCAAAGTATAAAAAAAATGCAGGATATTGTTTCGATTTGTAAGACAGAAGGGGAGGGAAGGGAAATTGCATCACATTTTCTAGACATCGGGTCAACCTTTGGAAATTAGAAACCTCTATGCAGCCAGGATGACAGGAAATAAAGTTGCATCGGAGCTAGGCGAGTCGGATGCAAGCGGTGTGTCCTGGCCTTAAAGGTATAGTGGAAGATGTTGTTTTTCCAGTTGGATCATCTAAATCAGTGGTCCCCAACCTTTTTTGCGCCACTGACCGGTTATATGTCAGACAATATTTTCACGGACCAGCCTTCACAAAGATAGGATGTTTTAGATAGGATGCGTCTTGACCTGAATTAACCTGTGTCACGAGGCACAGATGCACCGACTGATGTAATTGGGAGATAATACCCCAATGTCTTATATTTTTCAAAATCACATCACTCAGATGAAAGTGCGCATTCAGCTCGGCAAAGAACTCATGCTCTTCCTCAACACTGAAGTCCTCAGACATTCTTCTTTCGTTGTTTCTTTC